ATTGTGGGAGGAAGTGAAAAAGGTAAATAGCGGATTTCTCTCGTCTCAGGGGAAAATGAGAGAGTGTTGCACGACCATTCAATAGTATGACTGGGTTTCTAACAATGGAAAGCTTAATGCAAATGGGTGGAGTGTCCCTTTATGTCTCCATTTTTAAATGATGTAAATAATACCAAAAACAAATATTCTCTGTTTAAGTAATCCGTATGAAAGCAACGACATGTACAGTTTCTCCAGCCCGAGCTGATTAACTTTAATGTGACCACGCCCACACACGCGCAAGCTGTTCAAATTCAAATGATCCACGAGAAGGAATGCAACGCCCTCATCACCTCTAAACAAAGAATCAGCGACTTCAGGCCTGCTCTGCTTTTCGTCGAGTTTGGAAGTGTTTGGTCTGTGCACCTTGGATTTACCTCAGAAGAATTAGAAGAACACGATTTGATTATGAGAACGATTTTTAATGTAAGACACATAGGCTAATAAGCGTCTTATGGTTGCATAAACTTTACATTGTAGCTACTAGTTAAACTGATTTAACTGTTTCTTCTAGAGATACAATTGCCTTTACGGTCACACAATGCTTAGGTTTGCCTCAATTTCATATTCAGACTGCAATATCATTATTTGTCCACAAAGTTCTGAATATATTTTACAATGTCCTTAACCCCATGCCTTTATTTTACTTTCCCAAGTGTACCAAACTGCCAGTTCTCACAGCCATTAGCCGGGCTTTTATTCTTCTCCTTTTATTTTCCTCAGGAGATGTTCAGTTAAATACAGGCCCTTTAACCCTTGCTGACAACCTAATGTCTCATACATTTTCATTTAATGACTTTTGTAATCGTAAAAGTCTTGGTTTTATGCATATTAACATTAGAAGCCTCCTCCCTAAAATCGACTTAGTCACTGCTCTGACCTACTCAGCTAAATCGGACATTTTAGCTGTGTCTGAATCCTGGCTCAAGAAATCTATTCAAAACTCAGAAATATCTATTCCAAATTACAACGTTTTTCGCCAAGATAGACATGCAAAAGGGGGCGGAGTTGGAATTTACTGCAGAGAAAACCTACAATGTACCGTTCTTCTATCCAGGTCTGAACCCAAAATGTTTGAGCTCTTTTAAAAATTAATTTCTCCAAAGATAAGTCACTTACAGTAAGCTGCTTGTTATAGACCGCCTTCAGTCCCTAGTTGTGCTCTAGACACACTATGTGAACTGATTGCTCCACACCTATCCTCAGAGTTCTTATTGATGGGAGATTTAAATCTAGACATGTTAAAGGCCTCAACAAACCTACTGTCTAAGCTGGATGCTCTCAATCTCACACAAATGATTAATGAACCTACTAGATATAATTTAAAATTTGTAAACAAAGGCACTTTAATTGACATAGCTCTGACTAACATGCCCTCAAAGTATATTCCAGCGGTCTTCAGTCAAGACCTCAGTGATCACTGCCTCATTGCTTGTGTCCGTAACGGAGCTGTAGTTAAAAGGCCGCCCCTCATCTCTGTTAAAACGCCTTTTAAACCATTTCAGTGAACAGGCCTTTTTAACAGATCTCGCTCAGGTATCCTGGAAGGACATTGACCTGATACCACACGTGGAGGACGCTTGGTCTTTTTTTAAAGGATACTTCCGGTATTTAGCACTTTGAGTCTATTTTCTAGTTTGTTTTGGATGAACTAGAGTGGTGGACTTAGAAATGTTGGCGATGGGTCCGGTCTCGACTTTTTGACTATTTTAGAATCGCCTCTTGAGCGCTTCAGAGTGGCTGTCTACGAGCATACTCAAACATGTCCTTAAAACAACCCTTAACGTTCGTTTTCAAAACTGTGCAACTCACCGAGTGGTTAGTGGTGTTCGTTGATGTTCCAAAACAAGTAGCGTAGCGAAATACAGTTTCTGTCGTGTTTTATTTGCCATATTTAAAAATCCCATTGATATCTGTTGAAGGACTCAGTGCTCGTTGATATTACTGTGCAACCGGATACCGAAAGGGGTCTGTTTACATTTGGTTGTAGTCTTTTCACTCGGTTCTCTGTCTCTCAGAAGGCTAGCGTGAGCAGAGCAACTGCGGCAAAGTGGTTGTCGCCATCAAGTGGTCGGCAGACCCAAATATCCAGCGGACGTTTATACGCGGTTGTGAGGTATCTGAAAAAATAGTTTCATTATAGTAAATAACACGGATTGAAAGCATACATGGCACCGATATATTTGTTTTTAACTTCAGGCCACTCCAGGGGATTTTCTGCGTAATAAGTATATAGTAAGTTTCTTCAGATGGCATTGAATTCTACTTAATGTAAATAAGTTTTTAGGTCTGCTGCATTTCAAAAGAAATTACATCACCACTTATATTTCTTCAATATCATATGAGCAAGAGCTCTGTTATATCTTAAATCTAGACTAAAAACTAGTGCTGGGCAACGATTAAAAAATGTAATCGCGATTAATCGCATGATTTTCTTGCGATTAATTGCGATTAATCGCATTGTTACACGCAAAATTGAATAATGAATTCTAAAGTAGTGTATTGCGCACTTTTGATTTAAATGTACTGCTACAAAAGTGCAATAACATGTGGTTTGTAAAAACTTTAAACAAATAAGGTGCTTTTATACCAGCAGTATTCCCTTTACACAGTATCAATAAAATATTTCTTGTAAATCTCAACTTAAACATTAATGTAATCAAATCAAATATTTAAACAAAGCTATTTGCCACTGCCAGGGCATTACCTTTTATCTAGCTTGTTAAAACGAGTCCTGTTTTCTTGTGGGGTTTTTTCTGAACAGGTATCTTGTATCAGGGAGCAGCAGAAACAGTCTATGTAGTCAAAGGGTCATGATCACTACTACAGATATAAGTCGACCAACGTTACTTCTCTGATAGCAGCTTAGGTTTGGTCATGGCATGCCATGGTTTCCCACGTAAGATTACATTAAACAGAGGTAAAGCCCAATTTATACTTCTGCGTCGAACTCACGCCGTAGCTGTGTAGCGCGCGTACCCTGACGTGCATCTCTCCAAAAATGTAACGTCAATTCTACGCGTACCGCAAGCGCTGTGATTGCTAGAACCGCTCCCCGGGGTTCACACTCTCCCTCTGCATGTGTAATTGCGCGTCAACGCGGACAACGACCCAGATATATAAATGAAAACCAACGCGTAGTCTATAGCGTAGAGGCTCCGGCGTAAGTCCGACGCAGAAGTATAAATCAGGTGAAGTGGTCGAGCACAGGTGCAGCGACAAGCGGGTGCGTTTCTGTGAAACTGTTGCGGTCATGCTCGCCTCACGCACGCGCCCGCGCGTTGCCGAAGTTGAATTGTCTAACTTTTTTGTACACAACGCGCAGCACAAATCATTGGAAGAGAGGCTGATCCTCGGCTCGCTGTTTGTGAGTTTCCAGAATCTAAATAGTTATCAGGACATCAACAGGAGGGAATTCACATGGCAGAGCATCCCCGCTAAACTAAACGCAGGCCTATCAGGTAAAGTTATGTATAATTTTAATTTAAGTTAAAAAGGCTACAGCTGCGTAGCGCACAGAAGCCGTTGCCATGGTTACTATCCATAGAGCGCCTGTCATTCACTCGCGGAGCGCTGTCTCCCTTTCTGTTCACCTGAGAGAACCTGCCAAAGCCTCTCCACTGCTTGTTTGGGTGGGTTATTTGCTGGCTGACCAACATCCCACCCCTCCTGTGATCATGGTTTGACTGTAGGCCTATGTGTTTCCAGAGCCAGTGAGCAACGGACTTTCAAAATAATAAAAAAAAAAACTGCGTTAACGCGCGATAAAAAAATTGTCGGCATTAATTAATAAATGCGTTAACGCGATAATAACGCGTTAACTTGCCCAGCACTACTAAAAACACATCTATTTAACCTGGCATACACATAGAACATTATAAATGTTTATTATTCAAATCAGACACGACCACAACGCATGATGTAGTCATCCAGATCCAGGCCTTTTCCAGAACAGATGGCGGACCGGCGTCTAGACACGACCACAACATGACCCGGGCCGTATACAGAAGCACTCCCAAGAAAACCTGCATTTTTCTGCATTAACCCGCTCATATGAGAGCAACTCAAATGTAGTTGACAGTGCCAGAGGTGAGATGGATGAGTAATGGGCTCAATAAGAAAAGCTCCACAGGAAGATGTACTAGGATTTTGGAAAACCAATGCTGGATCCCTCCCAAGACTAGCCAGGGTCGTTCCCAAATCTTCAGTTTTGAGCTACATTCATATGTGGTTTAAAATCCTATTCAAATCACATTTCGGGTAATCTGTTTCAGTCTGACCACTCTAAACGGATTTTGTGTGGTTTATGTGACTTTCTCACGCGATGTAAAACGTAAATGTCAGACGTTGTTATAGGGAACATGCTGGAAGTCACTGCAGAAACGAGAAGGTCAGGATTATGCAGGATGAAAAGAAAATGCCATGTAACGGAGACATGTTTTGAAACGGGCGGAGACGACAGCAGGAATAAAGCCTCACACCTCCTGCGGTTCTGCCACGGCCTCATAGACGCAGTACTCCGGCACAGAAGCTACATGCTATCATGCTGTAAATAAGACAACATCTGAAGTTGCAAACCCCTCCAATGTTGCGGTTGCTGATGTTGTTGTTGTTTTTGGGCGTACGCCTATCAATGCAACGTCATTCCCAGAAGTCAATGTAGATATTCCAGAGAACGAAAGAGCGGCATGGACACACAAATCGGATCCGAACAGTTGCGATACACTATGTGGGTGTCAATAATTTTAGATCAGATTCCAATCAGATATACAATCAGATTTGGACTGACAATTTGAACGTAGCCTAAGCGCACAATTCAATTTGCAAGCTTTTACCAGACATTTTTCCTTAAACAAAATGAAACAACACGTTCAAAGGAGGAATGAACTGAATCCAGCGTTTTACCCTTAGAAAATAGACTAAAAAAAGATAAAAGAAAAGAAGAATGGTTTCCAAGCTGCTTTGTAAGTAGATATGTAGTTTTATTTCCAAAAAAGGAAAAAAAGAGAACAAGAACAGAATTGGATTTGGACAATATACACTCAAATGCCATTTGATTGAGTCCACCTTACTAAAACTAAAGTAGTTTTTTAACAGTTTTGTTTAAGCTTTTGTTTTAAACTGCATTTATTTTATTAATGTAATTTTATACACAAGAAACTTTTACATTTGCAGCACAATCCAACATTTGAATCTGATGACGGCAGCCTAATTCCACAGTGTTTTAGTACAGCAGTTTGTTTTTTAGAGACATCACCTTCAGGCTAGGCTTCAGGTCATCCAGCTCAAGGAAAATCTTCTGAAATGCCTCAAAAGTATTTTTCAGTTCTTTTGGGTAGCTGAGGTTGAGTGCGTATATCAGCCCCATTAGCAGAGCACAGGCCCGGGGAACGTCTAGGTCTTCCTGGAGCTCAGTTCCCTCGATCACAATCCTTGCGTTGGTTGGGTCAGACGTTGTGGCTCCTCTAGTTATAATAATCTTCATCCTTTCATTGGTATTATCCCCATCATCCTAAGTAGATCAGAATCCATGTCAGTGTTTAAGTTAACATATAAAAAAAAAAATCTGATTGACACAAAGTACAGTGTCTTACCAAGCGCTCTTTAAAGAGATCATCTTCCTTGTCTCTGAGATGCACCATTATGGAACGGATAACAGCCTCTCTCCTCCTTTCCAAAGAATAATCCTGTAAAGAAAAAAAAATGTTAAACTACTTTTCCACGAGGATGGGTTTTTAATAAATACATCAATTTGAAAATAAAAGATGGTTTATAACTGTACCAATTACCCGGTTATATTAAAATGAATTAAAACAAATAAATTGACCATTTAAAAAAACATAATTTGAATGTATTTTCTGGCCTCCTGGTGAAATTCAACAGACAACTGATATAGGCGTTTCTGCAATAATGTTGTTAACCAGAGGTCAGGACTTCGAGGTTATTGTACTTAATATAACTGTCTAATATCAGTAAAGAAATATTAGACTCCTTGCTACAGTATATAGTAGAGATGCGCGGTTGGCGGTTATAGCCGCGGACTCCGCGGATAAACCGCGGATCGGGCGGATGGCGTGACGAAAAAAAATATTTTAATTAAATTCGGGCGGGTGGCGGGCGGTTTCTAGTCTCGCGGCTGTCATCAGCAGCGCCTTGTTTCAGCGGATGGCGGGCGGGTGCGGTTATGAAAATTTGTCAAAAACGTTGGTGCGGATGGATGGCGGACGGATGATGAGTTTTGTGATGCGGTTGCGGATGAAATAATAGCCCATCCGCGCATCTCTAGTATATAGACCCGTGGCCCTACACACTAGGCTTGCTGCGATAGTCGGTGTTACCGGTGTTCAGTCACAACACCGGTTTCATCACTCGCCCACCATGGCCATTTTTTTCAGTTTAAAGCGTTACAAATATTTAACGCAATTAACGCAGTATCCGTTTTTTTCACAAAAGAGAATGTGCTGTCTGTCAATGTCCTGTTTATGTGACACACACACACACACACACATCGAGTTCTCTTTCAGGCTTGAACGACCCATAACACAAACAAATTATGCCGTTTTGTCGAATATCCTCATAACATAAGAGCAGTCTTAAATGAGTTAAATAATGTCGTGAATGAACGTAAAGAGTTTTGAGAAAATGGGACGAGTGTCAGATCCACATGTGCAGCAGCCATTTGCTTGGCCGTATAAGTGATTCTTTCAAGATTCCCTATAAATTAATTAATTCCCTTGAGCTAAATTAATCGTGTTATCCAATGTTACTGGAACCGTCCATGATTGTTTTCCAATGTCATTGCAAATATTTTGGAAGCTAATTGTATGTTACAAGTCAGGCCTAGCAACGTCAGACCTATCTCTCTATATTTGGGCAAGATGACGAACTAATCGGGTGGTGCGCACAGACGCGCTGCTCTTAGATCTTGAAAAAGGTTGAGAAGCTCTACCAATGGATGTTGGAGTCGAGATGAAAACGATGATGGGTCAAGCCAATCACACACTGCATAGAGACGCGAGTCGCGACGCGCTTATATAAGCGGCGCGTTTTGACCCGAAGAACAAACAGAGGGGACGCAATCCAGTGCGAGCGCACTGCCACTCAGTGGACAAGCAGTGGTTATTCATTAGTATTCAGTCAGAACATGGCTTATCAGAAGAGGTTTACTTTAGAACAAGTTTTGGAAAATCTAGATCTAGAACAGGATGATCAAGAAGAGGACCTTGAATCAGACACTGAGAACCGTGTCGACTCCTATAAGGAGAATGCTTTTCTTCAGGGCATTGATCCTGTTGCTGAAAATAAATTAATAATTACCTTTACTTTGTCAAATCAAGTAGATAGATTTATTACAAAACTACAACGTTTTTACAGTTTTCATTGATAACTTTTTGACTGATTACAAAGTTTACTGATAGTATTCAACAATAACTTTTCAGGGAGTATTACTGGTATTTTTATTGATAACTTTTTAGAGACAGTTACAGTTTTTTTTTATTGATTACATTTTAGAGAGTATTACTGATTTTTATTGATAGTGTTTTAGAGACAGTTACTGATTTTTTTTTTATTGATAACTTTTTCGAGCGTCCTCTGATGAAGAGAAGCAGCCTCGATGTGTCTGAAAACAGATAAAGCACATGAGGCACCACCAATGCCCAGCTGTGCACCTAAACGACCTCCAGGACCACAGCTCATTACTGAGGAGCTGTATTCTCCAACCCAGTCATTTCAGGTGTTCTTCAGCAAAAGGAGATCTTCTTGGAGATCATAGCAAATACAATTGAACACGCAGAAAAATTGTCCAGCTCTGGGAAGAAATACAAATGGCAAACTCACCTTGGATAAATTTAACAGTTACTTGTCTCTGATCATTTACACGGGCCTCGTGAAAGTCAAAGAACTGAGTGATTACTGGTCCAAAAAGCTGGGTTAGATTTTAATTTCCCACCTTCAGTGATGTCATGGGATCGATTTCATGGACCCTGCATTTTTGCGATCTAAAGGGGGATGAAGAAAACCAGCAGAAAAAGGGAACTGAAGAATACGACCCCCTATACAAAATAAAGCCTCTCTACACAGACCTCATCACTGCCTGCAAGACATTTTACCAACCAAATCAGCATCTTTCGATTGATGAGAGGATGGTCGCAACCAAAGCCCACATTGGGCTCAAGTAATACATGAATGCCAAGCCCACTAGGTGGGGCTTTAAGCTTTTTGTTCTGGCTGACTTGCATACCGGATACACCTGGAATTTCTCAGTGTATGAGGAGAAAAGGGCCACACACAGCGACACAGGGCTCAGTTATGACTCGTGTTCCTGTTAGACTTTCCCCTACTGAAAAGATCTGGACTTGTATAAAAATTGTCCAAAGACCTAGCAGGGCTACAGACGGGTGCATGTGGCACAGTCTGAACAAGCAGGAAGGGCTTTCCAAAGACAAGGGAAAATGACATGCCCAAAAAAGTTGAAAGGGGAACCATCAGAGGAAAGATGGCCTTTTTGTTAAATGGATGAACATACGGGAGGTGGTCATGTGTTCCTCAATAAACACGGCGTATGAAGGAGACACTGTCAACAGGAGAGTGAAGGTGGACCAGTGTCAGTGGACGAGGAAGACCATACCCATTCCTGGGTCTGTGCTTGAGTACAACAAGTACATGGGAGGAGTAGATTAGTCTGATGCACTGATCGGGTACTATAATGTGCTACATAAGACCCGGAAGTGGTACAAGAAGCTGTTTCAGCATCTCTTGGACATTGCCATTGTGAATGCATTCATCCTGCATGCAGAGCAAATGAAGGCCAAGAGTTTGCTGCCACTGACCCAGAAGACACTCCAGGAGAAGCTCATGAAGGAGACACAACCAGACTCAACTCCACAACGGCCTTCACAAATGTGCATGCCTGCATATATACAAGACGACAGCACTCGGGGACGAAAAAGGTGTGTGAGGTGCCACAATAAAACACCAGTTTCCTGCACAAAGTGTGACGTGGCACTTTGCTTTGTGCCCAGCAGGAACTGTTTCCAGGACTGGCACAAAAGCCCAAAAAAACTAGAGAGGTAAGAAATACAGAGCCTAAATATTTTTTTTTTTTGCTGTTGCTCATAGAGGTTTTGACTGAAGAAAGCAGTGCGTTCATAGTGCCTCTCGATTCACACTCTTGATAATTTCACAAATAATTGTTTTTATTTATAGTTATTATAATGTAATATATCTGATTTGCAATAGTGTTTGTTTGGTGTTTGTGTGTGTAAATAGTTGTTTTTCAAGAAATAAAAAAAACATGAATTGAATCAATCAATCAGAGAGTCTTATTGAACACTTTGCAAGTGAAATGTAAAAGCCAACTATTTGTACAATAAAATGACAAACCGGAAACACGTTTGGAGAGGTTTTTGGACACTCGGCTAAACAAAAAGGCTACCTTTGTTCCAAATGCTGTAACTCTTGATTACTCTATGCCAGAGATTCCCAAAGTGTGGTATGCACACCCCCAGGGGTGCGCGAGCTGCCACCAGGGGGTGCGCGAGAGGAAAAATGTAATGGCGCTCTGTTTTGTGTGGGATTTTTCAATTCAATAAAAAAAAAAACATGAACAGTAAACATTTCCTTTGTAATCACTTTTATTTTAAATTAAAAAATATATATTATTTATTCGTTTTTAATAAAAACGTAGAAGACAGCTGTCTTCTTCTACACTTCTCTTCTTTTATGCACTACCGCTATATGTGCGCCAAATCGTTTCATTCATTCCATACTAATACTATATATATTATAAATATGCTTAACTGGCTGAAATCGGGGAAACTGTCAAGTGGGACGTCTTGTGATAAAGTTGTCAGTCACGAAGGAGGAGTAGGACCAAGAGAGAGTGAGGATTTGGAGGCAACAGAGACGGAGAGAATAGAGAAGGAAAATGAGCGGGAGTCCGAAGATGCGCCAGCGGAAACCGAAGAGGAGGGAAGGAGATGGCAAAAAAAGAGGTGATGAGGGTGAACACCAGACAGGGAAAAAAAGAAGGAAATATGATGACAATTATCTGGGTCTGGGCTTCACTTGGATCGGCGATACAGATTGCCCGAAACCTCCGTGCGTGTTGTGCAGTGAAGTTTTAGCAAACAGCTGTCTGAAGCCGTCTTATCTCCGTCGTCACCTGCACACGAAACATGGCAATTTAAGTCAAAAGCCCCTTAAATTTTTTTAAAGCAAAGTTGGAGGAGTTGCAGAAAAGCCAAAAAAAAAATGCAGTTTCATTCATGCGTTGGGTCTACGAAAGACGCATTACGGGCTTCATATGTGCTCAGTTACAGAGTAGGGAGAAAGGGGCTGCCGCACACAATTGCCGAAGACGTGTGTTTTCCAGGGGCCAAAGAGATGGTGGAGTGTATGATTGGAGAGAAAGAGGCAAAAAAGTTGGACATGATTCCTGTGTCCAATAACACTGTCGCGCCGCATTGATGCCATGTCTGAAGACATCCTGGCTACACTAGTCAGCCGTGTGAAGAAAAGTGAGTTTTACTCTCTGCAAGTAGACGAGTCTACAGATGTTGCAAATCTGGCCAATCTTCTTCTGTATGTCCGTTACCTTTTTGAAGGAACGGTACAAGAAGATTTTTTGTTCTGTCGGCCCCTTGCTACCCGAACAACAGGGCAGGAAATAGTCAATTTAATTGAC